TATATATATATCTTATTTGGCGATTGAATAATAAAATGTGAAATATGTGCCTTAATATAGTATATGCAGCAACAGTACCTCATACCAAAATACCGTATTCTGTCGCTTTTTATTACCTGTCAAGTACAAATTTTTTCCAGGCTTTTGGTCCAATGCCAGCATTTTTGTTTCTTTGGGCAGCATTGATTATCATCAATCCTACTTCTAATGCTATTATGTCGCTGACATTCGCGCAGTATGCGCTACAACCGTTTTTCAAAGGTTGCGAGCCTCCTGATGCTGCTGTACGATTATTGGCAGCATGCACCATATGTAAGTTTCTGTTATGGTTCTTTTATACTATTCTTGCTTCATAATACTGTTGTACCTAGAAAAAAAATGTTAATGTGAGAAAAAAGTGGGAAAAACTGAATTCGAGAATTTCAGGCTTGCTGACACTGATCAACTGCTACAGTGTGAAATGGTCAATGAAGTTGCAAAATGTGTTTTCAGTCGCCAAAGTAGCCGCACTCTGTACCATTGTTTTGGCCGGTTTGATCTGGATAATTTTAGGTAATTTTTCAATAGGAAAATGTTATCGGCCCGAAAATTAGAACTGCCATCACTTTGCTTCTAAACATCGTTCTGAAGATTATGCCGTCGGCAAATTTTTGCATTTTTTTGCACCGAATAGTTCTTTTACTATTTTTCATTACAGAGGTGGGATGAGGTGGCTGAATGATATTCATTTACAATAAATTGCTAATTTTTCCAGGAAATACGGAGAATCTGGAACCATCGGAACTAATGGCCGGGACGGAAACGAATCCAAGCCACATTGCTCTGGCATTTTATTCTGGTGTGTTTTCATATAGTGGATGGTAAGTGTTACAGCATACTTCTGGTCTGGATTAGCTGTATAATACTTAATTTATGCAGCTAGCAAAATTTCCGACTGCTTTGAATTTCCTGCATGGATTGGCACCTCAATAGTTTTTTTTTCTAAAACGATTTAGCAAAACTAAGTAGCCGTACCAATTGTGCATCACCACCTCATCTGAAACATTTCCACCCTTATGCCAAGATGAGGTATCTCATGAACTAGGGCTCGATAGTCCGTGAATTTTCTAAATATAATGTGTAAGTTTATGTCACTGTTTTCTTAAATTACGTAAACTGTTGGAAGAGAACTATTGAATGAGTGGGTCCCAGTTTATTTATCAAGCTCTTTTTGGAATTCAAAATATCATTTTTACAGTACATCAGTAAAGGATAAGTGAGAATCTTCTGCTTTTTTGTGCTGAGATGACTAAAAAGCCGAGTTAAAGATTTTTTGCTTCTTTCCAAAAAAAGTGGTGGTGCAGAAAATCGAACCATTCGAAAAACTTGGCCGATTTAAATTTGCCATTGTTTCTTTTGGTAATTTTTCTTTTCCATTTCTTGAGTTGTTTGATAAACAGCATCTCAGTAAGAAGGTTGTCGATGGCTGTCTTTAAAAAATCAATGAAAGTGTTTTCCGTTCCTAAGCTTTTCAAGCACACAGATGTTCTTATGTGGGGGGATCTCTGAAAGGCGAAACGAGTATCAGGTTTAACAGCAGGCTGACCATCATATTTGGTGCAGCATTGGTAAAATGAACTGGAAAAGTTCAGGTGCAGAACTGGATAAACACCGTATGAACTATAGCTGATCAAAGTACCTCATTATTATGCGTTTTATGCTGTGTAACAGCGTTACAAAACGCATATTGTCACGGGGTTGTCGTGTGTGTGTGT